CAGATCCCAGTTCTACAGCCTTCAAGGCAAGTCTCTTCGCAGCAAGGTCCGGTACCCGGACTGTTGACCGTACTAATGCAGCCGCCTCGTCGATTGGTACAACATCCCACAATCCATCACTTGCAAGAATGATGAAATCGTCATCGTTCGTCAGGTGGTGCTTGACTACATCTGGTGTTGAAGAAATGTATCTCTTGAATGGTCGGTCACCAAGCGATCTTGATACCATGAGACAGCCCATTACTCTACCACTGACAGAGACAGAGCCACCTCTTGCAAGTACTCGTGCTTGCTCTGCCGGATCTGTTGCCAGATGATCCTTGCTCAGAGAGAGCACAGTGCCGTCTTTCCTGCTTAAAATGCACCTACAATCGCCAGCATTAGCGACAAAAAGGGTAGAATCAACGACGAGCGCAGAAAGAGCAGTACAACCGCTGTTCTCTTCCATCGAAGAGTCCTTCAGGAAAGCATAGTCGACATCCTCGAACGCATGAATAAGAGCCGACTCAGGAGTTGAATCTTCGTTGGACCACGCGCGGAAAAGCGCTCCCGGAAAATGTGTAGCGGCAAATTCAGAACATGCTTGACCGCCATGACCGTCAAATACAGCGAACAAGTGATGATTTGGGAGGCCCGAAAGCTCCGTCTCAACGAGGCTTCTATCCTCCATTCGATCTGGACCTCTATCTCCGCAAGTTGATGATAGTGCTGCGGTGATTTCTAAGTTGTTGTTAGATGTTTCCACTTCCATGCGACAGTACCCTGGGTTTTGACTCTTCTGGTCACATAGCTCCCAGATGGGCTTTCTCGGTTTCAAGGCACTCGCCTTAATTTCATCAAAGATGATATTCGTGTCGTCAATCTTCATGTTCTTTGAAGTAGCAGCCAAATGTTCGTCAGTGTCAAAAGTAGAGCCAGAAAACTGTGACAAGTATTGCGAGCCTTTAGAAAGCAGAGTTTCGAGTTGGGAGACAATCTGGTGGAATGTGGGACGTTGCTCTGGGACAGGGTGCCAGCATTGTTCTATTAGTCGGCGGAACTCCTCCGGAACGCCGTGAGCAAGCACCGGTCGCAGATTGTTCTTCACAATTGCACCGCGTAGTTTGACTTCGTTAAAACGAGTTTCGAGAACGGTATGTAGCTCAGGCACAGGCATCTTTCTGTCGACATATGGCACGGCACACGTTGCCATCTCGTTGACGGTGATAGCGAACGCATACACATCCGCAGCAAAGGAATGGGGTCGACCCTGCAATACCTCCGGGGCCATATAGACGAGGGTGCCAACCATGTGGGAGAGACGACCGTTTGACGGACCCCTGTGAAGTGCGCGACCGCCATTACGAGATGCAGCATAAAGCAGTTCATTGACATCGACAGCCAGGTCAAGGTCTGCAACCATGAGGTTTTGCCACTTTTCGTCGAGGAGGATGTTAGCGGTCTTCAAGTCACGGTGGACAAGGTTGACTTGATGCATGTGAGCCATAGCTTTTGCAAACTGCAAAGTGAGAGAAATTAGACGTTCAAAGGACATCTTAACCGACTTGGCATGTAAGGCGTCAAACATTGTACCGCCGTTCATCCAGGGGGAAACTGTGCAATAGTTGGGGGGTGTGGTACACGCTCCTATTAAGGGGAGCAGATTAGGGTGTGACAGGTTTGAACGTAGACGGATTTCGGCTTCAAAACGGTCCAGGGCTAGCATTGAGGTTATCCGAGGCTTGCGTAGAGCTACCATGAGCGGCTTCTCGGCGGGATGCGCGGAGGGCAGAAGTGCGCGATAAACTGATGCGCCCGCGCCTTGTGCCTTCAGCTCGAGGTTGGCGAAGGACTGTGGGCGAAGTTCGCGCCAGTTGATGTCGCCGACAGAACCCATGATGCGAGGCGATGGGGGTGTGCTATGAAGGAACAGAGCGAGCTTTTAAGGTGGTACGCGGGCAGTTGGGTGAGGATGAACGACAAGCGATTGAACAGGCGAGAGTGATGCGGCTCGGGGGGTGGGGGGTGAGGTATGCGTGCGGCAGTTAAAGAGATAGGGAGGGGGCAACGAAGCGTGTGCGGCAAGCAAATTGGCAAAGGGTCAGCAACGAAGTGAGTGTCAAGTTTGTTTGGTGGGTACGACGAATGGGACGCATGACGGTGGCGGAGCGCAGGTTGGATGCGGTCGACAATGGGACAAGTTCGGGAATTTTTGTGCAGCGCTGATTGGATGCACAGCCGTGTCAACGTTCGTTCGTGCCTCGTCGTGGCGCGCGCCATGGTACAGCGCTGCCAATGGCCGTCTTCCAAGTGCAGCCACTTACACGCAGCACGAAAAGATTGCCTTTGAGTGGTGTGCCACGTGTGGCACACGTGGCTGAATTTGGAAAAACAGCAGGCTGCGCTACACTACTGTTTGCTCAGCTCCACGTCACCGTCACACGCGGATTGCAGCGCACGCAAGGGGCAGTGCTGTACCAAATTTGGCTTCGAGTTGTTCGATATAATGTGCTTATCGCACTGTTGCCAGACGCGTAGCCAATCAAACGCAACGCAGGAACGCTTGAGAAACGAGCAAGACAACGGCAACGATGGCGATACGCATGGACAGCACAGTTATCCCCACTGCTGCGGTGCGATAAACTTCCATGTCGATGCGCTTGTGCAGCTGCAGCAACCATGGCCAACCTCGTCTTCGACGATTCCTATTCCGAGAACGACTACATCCGCACCATCCAGACCGATTTCACTCGAAGGGCGCCCGCGTATAATCTCGGAATCAGTGGAGAGCAGCACCGTGGCTTCCTCAACACTCTGCTTGCCAAGTACCCTCCAAGATACCCACTACTGGATATAGCATGCGGCACTGCGCTTCTTGGCCAACTGTTAGGTCGACACGGCGATGGTGTAACCGGTCTCGACCTCACAGAGGCCATGTTACAGCACGCTCGCAACGCTCTTCCCAAAGGCACCTTCGTTCAGGGAAGAGCTGAGAATCTTCCCTTTCCTGACGCAAGCTTCCAGTCCGTCTACGTCTGTTCTGCAATCGTGTACTTCACAGACGTTGACGCTGTTCTTCGAGAAGCTTACAGAGTGCTTGAAAACGGAGCGTTTTTTGCCTATCAGGCCGTCTCGCTGGACTCCTACGTAGCCGGAGTTGAGCTACAGAACGCTCTCATTCACGTTTTCGGGCAACAGCGAGCAAGGCAACTATTTGAACTTCCCCACGGCATCACAAACGACACAGAAGCGAATCGGAAGCTAATGCAGCGCGCTGGATTTGACAACATTCGCGCTGAAATGGAGGTTACACATGAAAAAATTGATGTCCAACGACTGGAGACTATGTGGGATAATATGGTTGGTAACAACGCACTTCTAGGAAGGGTGAGAGCTTTGTCGTCAGACGAGTTGCAACGACTCCGAATTCGATGGGTGCAAGGCCTTGAGGATCGAAGAGATGTTGAGGGCTTTGTACCAGATAAGATTGAGAGTTGGTATGTTTGTGGATGGAAGCCTGCCAAATGACTTGTCGCATAATCATTTGCGTGTTCATAGCACGGTTTCAAACTAGTCTCACACTCCTGGTCTTGGTCCATGCTTGGTTCACAACACTGTTCAGTAAAGGGTAGTCGATTACCAGCCATGGCCGTTCCTCCCATTCTGCTAGCTACATAGCAATCGTGTCATGGGCCAAGCGTATGCCGTTTTGAACTGCGCTCAGGCATGCAGGTTTTGGACGAATGTTATTAAGAACTAACAAATTGAAACCTGCCTGTGCTCCCTTTGCGTGGCCAAGGAGGCGTGTGACGTGATAAAAATTCGCATGAACAATTCATCTCCATTGCGGGGATTGACTCGCGAACCAGAATCTCCTTCAATTTCGCTATGCATTAACTGCAGGCCATTAGATATGTCTGGCTGACAGTACAAAAACAGCATGGCTTCGACTTCAACTGAATGATTGCAAAGTCGAATGACTAGTTAGCCAAATTCTAGTCATGCTTTACAACTTTAGGTCTCTTGAGGAAAACAAGACGGTCAGGAGGAAGATATAGAAGCAGATATTGGAGATGAGGAGAAATGGAAAAATTGTAGAGCGCTTCTGTTCCATTTTGTTACTCTTTCCGCTCTTAGAGAATGCATGCTAGACTTTCTGTATTGCTCCGAGTCAGAAAAGGAAGATTATGTCGCGCTTCTGTAAACGGTTATTGTGTGAGAAACTCTACTGAGCTAGCCTGCTCGGACGCGGACCATGAAAATGATTTGAAGGTTATATTTGACCTATTTCACGAAGAGATGAAGTGGAGGTTTGCTACAAGAGGTCGTAGGCAACTCGGTTTTGTGCTTCTTGGAGGACGCCAACATAACACATGGTGCGGTAAGTCTTGTACCATTCAATATAAGTACCAGGGCCGCGTTGTCTTCGCAAGCTTCTCCGCTGAACGTCATTTTAGCAACGTTTAGAGCTTGGAGGAAAATCAGATTCAGTCTCTTCTAAGTAACCCGCTTGGAAATGAGCGAAGCTATTCGCGTGTTTGTACCATGTTCTCTATTGCGGCAGCAACTTGGTTTGTTACACCCTACTGGGGCAAGAGTTTCCTCCTTGCGTACCTAACTAATTTGTCACTTGAGTTGACTGACTTGGACCAAAAGTCGTTGGCCCTGAATGAGGGAGAAGCCTGAACAGCGAGTCACATCTATCACATCTATCACATCTACCACATCTGCAAGGGTACGCCCCTGATAAACTGTCTTACAAACTGGCGAATTGAAAAACGTTTCAGCACAGTATCGCCGCACTGTACGACCTATCTTGCTCACGGTTTTGCAATGTTTGCGTCGAGGACGACATGATGTGCAGTTTTCCTTTGACCCGAGCTACACACCAAGACGTGGCCATGTTCACCCGTTTTGCACCTCCGTGGGATGCAACATATGCGTAAACATGCGATGTGATCGTCCATCGCATCGTCATCATTGAACACTCTATGAGCGAGGTGCAAAAGCGAAGTGAGGATAGCTCGTGCCGGGAATTGAACCCGGATCTCCTCGGTGACAGCGAGATATACATCGGCTGATGTTAACCATTATACTACACGAACGTCCTCTGATGAAAATGTGCCACACATTTTTAATATTTAATCTTGTTTGCATTTTGTCCGACTCGCGACCGACCATCTTCATTGCTTCATGGTCAACAACGGCATACGATCTGGATGTAGATCTTCTCGTAGACTTGGATATCTCTGGCGCTGACATGCTGTTGGTTTACGCAGCAGCGCTGGTACAAAGCATCTATGGCCTTCTGAACACTTCCCTGAGTCCATGATGGTAGCCGAAAGTCACTACTGAAAACAATTAGTCTTGTCTTTGGAGGTTGTCGCGTGGTTAGCCTCGTGCAACATTTGCCCAAGACACTTTGAGAGAAGCAAAAACTCAGTGTTGAAAGTTCTTAGAGATAGCGTCCAGAGAAGCTTTAGGTGCATTCGAAAGTTGTGCTCAAGCAAAGCCCCGACCGCGATCTCGGAGCTGGGGACTGAAGGCACACGGGCGAAGACACGCTTAACCTTGCTATTGCTTATCCATGCTTTCAACCTCTTCAAGGAAGTTATCAATCTCTACCATGCATTCTTCCGTTTGCATAAGGTGTGGTAGTCGTCCACCTCCTCTTAGCACCTCCTCTCTCAGGCGAGTGTTTTGGAAAGCTATAGACGGTGACACTTCCATTCGTAATGCCAGCACAGGTACGACTTCTGATACATGCTTCAAGGCTTCTCGAGGCTGCCATTCTCCACTCTGATATACCGTTCGGAGTATGTTAATATTACCACCCTCTGCACCTTCAGTAGCACAAAGCTTCTCTCCTTGGATATCGGCAAATGTAATGCTCTTCATGTTTCCCGGTACAGACCAACCTTCAGCAACCACAGAGGCTACCTGATATCCTGTTCTTTCAGCTGATGAACGTTTTAAGAGAACATCTGCTACCTCTATTCCAAACCCTACCGCAACGATATGTAGCTTCGGGACTGTCTTAGCCTTCGTATCTGCAATTCCTGACTTGAGAAGCACAGCAGACACCTCATTAGCCGCTAGATCTACCCATTCAGCTTGGTCTTTCGAGTTGAATGCTTGTGACTCACCAACCCCCAGTAAATCAGAGAACAGAATTCGGCGGTCTGTCTTTCCAAGCAACTCTAATGTCTCACCGCTGGCCAAAGCTACTCCTGCGTCTCCAAGGTAAACGACTGGATACTTCTTCGCTTTCTGTTCCTTTTTCTTGGACCCAATCAATCGGTAGTGTACTTGACGGCGGTCATACGCAGCAAAATCTTCTTGCCATTCTAAAAAGTGGGCAAAGAAAGGATCTGGTTCGCCACAAAGTGCTTCTGCCCGTTTCAGAGGGTTCGACATTGCGACAGCAACCAGTGAAAGTAGAAAAGACCGTCTAGTTGTTTCTCGTGCATTACTTTGCGGAGATGGAGTTCTGGAACATGACATGCCTTCATGACTGGAATAGCGCTTTTCGTGGCTTCCACAAAACGATGGCGAAATCCACCCCAGCTCTGATTTATACATGTTCGTGTTTGGTTGTGATTGATTCGTGGATGCTAGCCTCATTTCCAGCCGGAGAAGTATGGAAGGAGCAACGAGCGAAATTTGGTGAAGGCTCTTGGGGCTCAAACTCTGAGCTCGCATTCACAATCAGCATTCATTTTCAGAATTTCTTGCCCTTGTTCTTTGAAACTGTGATCTCCGCACAAGAGTGAAGCTTGGAAGCTTTTCTTTTCATCTTTCGTTCGCAATATGCCGCGGCCAAATAGAAGCAGGTATCCCATCGCTTACAACAATCTTGAAGAAGGGGCCAGGGAACGTGTCATCTCTCTACCACGTTAAGCCTTGAAAGGATTCAGTCAGGACTCATCAGAGATTTCTCCTTTCAAACTTGGCTGTTGCTATCGTTATTGCCTCACTAGATACATCTGAGAATTGTCTGAGCTCTTGTGGAATAAGTGTAGGATTGCTTTTACCTCTTAATCTCTAGTCTACTTATAAACCGCGGAGGCTTTTGATAATATGCTGGATATCGTACCGGAATCATGCCACACCTTGAACGACATTCCTCAAAACTGATGATCTATTCTACGCAGCACGGTGGGAGATGCAAGTGAAACGGATTATTCCGCCCTGAACCATATGCCCGTGCCCCGTTGACACACATTCACAGGTCCCGTGATATAATAATGAGATGTCGACGTTCGCCCAAAAGCGCACCTCATTCAAAGCCCGGCCGCGATTGTTCTGGCTCTCGTATTCATTACATTGACTTTCCTCTCCACCCTAGGATTGTGTCAAAGTGGTGCTCTTAGCTGATGACGTCATAGCTCACTGCGCAACTGGAACTCTCAATAGTTGGCAATGGCCCCTTCTTCCGCTGCTCTCTGTCTCTTCTCTATCTTCTTCTTCAGCTCTTCCAACATTTTTTGTCTGGCGTCGAAAACTTGTACAGCATGTTCAGGTGGTGGCTGCTTCTTTAGAGGTGTGCGCCTATCTACCGAAGCACTCATCGAAGCACCCATGGAATCACCGATACCAGAAGGCTGCGATTGCAAGAGAGACAATGCTGTCGTCAGCGCAGCATGCAAAGCGTCAAGCTTTTTCTCGATGCGCGATTGTGAAGTTGAATCAGAAAGGTCGGAGTCTTCTAATACTTCGTTCTTCTGAACAGCTGTCGGCGGCGGAGGTGGTGCGGGACGCTTTGAGGAGGCTTTTTGCACGATTTTTGGTGGTGGAGGTGGCGGAGGTGGTGGAGGTGGTGGAGGTGGCGGCGTCGGGGTTGTCTTTGTTCTGGGTTGTGGATCTACGGCGGTCTGTTGCCTGTTGTTGACAGAAGACGGAGACGACACACAAGGCTTTTTGATTGAGTCGCGCGTGTCACAATGAAGCGGTGGCGGTGGCGGCGGCGGTGGCGGCGGAGGCGGCAATGGCGGCGAGAGGGGCGGCAATGAGCTCGAATGCGTTTCAGTATGCGGACCCGGAGAGGAGCCACTCTCTCTGGTTTCTTCAGACAAAGAAGACGGTGTTCGTGGAATAGGCTGGCTTCCATTGGAAGGACACAGCGAATGTTTATCCACTGTGTCAACGACCAGAGAGGACTGAGCTCGCTGTGATAAACTAGCCAGAATACAGGCATGGGGAGATGCAGCTGTGAGAGAGCCGCGTTGAGACGATGAGGTTTGCTCCAAGTGCAATCTTCGGCGAATGGAAGACGAACCCTTGTTGTGCTGCGGTCTGTTGCTTGAATTAGAATCAGTTCTCGAAGAATTCACGTCGGAAATGCGCCCTGAGTCAGCAAGTTTCTTTGATGGAGAGGGGAATGGCTGAATCCCTTCATGTTGATGAGGAGACTTGACAGGTTCCAAGTGCAAGGAAGCTGGGCTCGAAGAAGAAAGGGAGGTAGCCGGTGTCAAAGAGGAGCGCGACGACGAGGAAGTGAGCGAAGAATGGTCAGCAATTATGCTTTCCAGCCTGCTCTTAATACATTGAATACGTCTTTCTGCCTTGATTAGCTTCTCATCGAGTATTCTGGAGTGGGCTCGCATATCTCGTAACCAAGTTCAGCTAGTTCTGCCTCATTAAGGAGTTCGTGCCCCACATGAATCAGAGAGGGACTCCGAAATTCATAGGAAGATCCAACAGAGCTCATACCACCTGTAATATGCGATGGTACGGGTTTCAGTGGTTCCCGGGGCTGAGAGTGGGCCTCTGAAGCGAAAGATAGCCCGAAGGTGAGGTGCAAGCATTGAAAAGTGGTTCAGCACGTGATTGGTCACCAGGTCCGTGAATGCGGCATGTACAGTGGTGGCATGGAGTTAGCAATCCCTTTACTGTAGAGATGACGCCATGTCACGTGGGTCCGCAACAAATGTCGCTTTGCCAGTGGCCGTTGATGCCGGTGAATACATAATACGAAGCACGATTTAAGTTCCGGTGAGCCGAATAATCGTCCCATTTGCCCTTAGATATGACCTTTGTAACCTTGTTACTCCCGGCGTCGGTGACTTCGGGGGATCAATATCGCAGGCAGGTTCAACATACTTTTCAATTTACACTTTCCGAATCTCAGAATCTGAGACTCAGATGGTGCGAGACCCCAACGCTGAGGAACCCCGTTCTCAGAATGGTGTAGGTGAACAAGATCAAGTGTTAAGGAGCTTTGTGAATGTGCGTCTAGTAGATGAAGCGCACACGGATTCCCTTATCGGAACCTTGCAGATCACCCAGAAAACGGTGCTCTGGCAGAGCTCTTCCTCTTCACAATCTCAGCCTCCCTCAGAGTGGACGGTGAATTTTACGGATATAAACTTGCATGCTATGTCCACTGATGAGTCGAGCGGTTATCCGCCCAGCATATACGCCCAAACAGGGGAAGAGTTTAAGGAGGTACGCATGATTCCAGAGGAATCGCAACTTCGAGAGTTGTATGACGCACTTTGCGAGGGTGTTGCAAGGAACGGGGATGCTGCAAGCAGTGACATGGAACACGTCCCCCTCGAAACTACTGATGGACAAGGACAATGAGGCTCGCTCCATTTGTGACCGAAATGTAGCCCTTTACCGCCAGTAAGGAAGCGGGAACATTTTTTTTTGGAAGGGTCGTTGAATCGAACGACTCATACCTTTGTGACGGCATATATTGCACTAGTTCTTCAATGGATGTTCGCCGGACGATTTTGCATAATCATGTTGTCCTCGCACCAATAGATGTGGACAACGCAACAACCGTAAGTGAAGAGGTAGTCTTCTATCACCCCCTTATCCGTATACTCTTCAACGCTTGGGTTCTCTTCTTATACAGGTCACACTGAATTGAACATGTGAGGGACCCATTTGTAATGGTTGCTCGGAAGGAAACATAAGCAGGACGAATTTATGGGCTGAGACGGATATGAGAAGATTCGTCCTGCGTGTGATCATATGAATTACTCTTCCGTCTTGCACTGGCTATATGGTTTACTACTTGCTCACATGTCTCTCTTTGGGGAAGACCAATTTCTTCGAAGTCTTTCTTTGCGACTATGAAGAGCGTATCTCTCAAGTT